AACCTTCATATGACAAGAAAACCATGTAAATATTCAGTACAGAGGCAATTTTTTCCCAAGTACTTTTGATTAACTGTTAATTGAATTTATGGAAGCAGAACTTATGAATTGAGGGCTGACTCTTTAATGTACTGTATTCATGAAAGTATAGCTCTCAATTATCTCATAAACAAAATGCAAAATTCATGAAGGTGATAGATGGGGGGAGGAGATGGAGAGAGGTTGAGGAAAGCCTTTGCTAAGAAGGTAATATTTAAATTGTGTCATCAATGTGAGAAAGCTAGGTGAAGAAGTTAGAAAAGGAGTAAGGGAAGAAAAAGTGTGAATAGTAGGCAAATAACTGCACCTTACAATAAATACATTTAAGCAAAGCATATGTTTCACTATGGTTGAAGTATAGAGGATGGATAAGACGTGAGTAGAGCAAGGTTTATAAATCATAGACAGGAGTTTGAATACTCAGAGTAGCAAAAAGGAAACATGTCAGGGTGTTTTGCTTTGCTTTGCCCTGGTTTTTCTTTGAAGAACCATTATTTTTTTGAGAGGCAGAGTTATCCAGTGAGAGAGAGAGAGACAGAGAGAAAGGTCTTCCTTCCGTTGGTTCACCCCCCAAATGGCCGCTACAGCTGGCATGCTGCGCCAATCCAAAGCCAGGAACAGGTGCTTCCTCCTGGTCTCCCATGCGGGTACAGGGGCCCAAGGACCTGTGCCATCCTTCACTGCCCTCCCAGCCCACAGCAGAGAGCTGGACTGGAAGAGGAGCAACCGGGACAGAATCTGGCCCCCTAACCAGGACTAGACCCCAGGGTGCCAGCGCCGCAGGCAGAGGATTAACCAAGTGAGCTGCCGCACTGGCCAGGGTTTTCTTTTTTCTTTTTTTTTTTTAAGATTTATTTTATTTATTAGAAAGGCAAAGTTACAGAGAGAGAGAAAGAAAGAAAGAATAAAAAAGAGAGAGAAAGAAAAGAAATGAAATGAAGAGAGAGAGAGAAAAGAAAAGAAAAGAAAGAAAGGAAAAGGAAAGGAAAGGAAAAGGAAAAGGAAAGGAAAGGAAAGGAAAGGAAAGGAAAGGAAAGGAAAGGAAAGGAAAGGAAAGAAAGTAACGAAAAGAAAGGGTCTTCCATCTGCTGGTTCACTCCCCAAATGGCTGCAACAGCCAGAGCTGGGCCAAGCTAAAGCCAGGAGCCAGGAACTTTATGCAGTTCTCCACTTGGGTGCAGGGGTCCAAGCTCTTGGGTCATCTTCCACAGCTTTCCCAGGCACTTTAGCAGGGTGCTGGATCAGAAGTGGAGCAACTGGGACTTGAACCAGTGCCCATAAAGGATGCTGGTGTTGCAGGCAGCGGCTTAACATGCTGCACCACAATGCCGACTCCCATTCCAATTTTAAGCAACATAGTGCCACAATCAGAGATTCAGAATTTGGAAAGATTATTCTTATTATAGCATGAAAATGTGACTGAAGGCAGAAAGAACTACAGTTAAGTATTCTTGAAAGAAAAAGTTTACATTGAACCACTGCTAATGAACAGGATTGAGATATATTTAGGAATTAAAAAATCAATATATATTGGTCACTGATCTGTTCTAAGAGGGTTAAGGAGGGCTAAGAGGTTTGTGTGATTCTGCCATGAACATCTGGGCAGATGGTAATCCTGCTCTCTTAAATATATACTCCAAGACAAGAGGATTTTACCCAGTAAATATTAAGTTCAATTTTGGATGAGTTGATTTGAAATTGCCACTAGATATGTAAGTAAAAGTGTCTAATAAGTGGATAGATACTAAGGACTACAGCTTAGGAGAGAAATCTCAATCACACATGCAGATTTAGGAGATGCAAACATTCATTTTTGTCTTTGAAGCCAAGAAACATAGGATGAGAAGTGGGCCTAGCATTGAAGAAACAAGTAACATCGTTGGCACCTGCAAAGAAGTTGAGAAGGAGCAGACAAAACATTATGTCAAAGTTCAGAGAAGCATATTATCCAAGAAACCCTAAAAAAGAAGTGTTTTAAGGAGTAAGAGGTGAGCTGTATTAAATGTTGCCAGTGGGCCAAACAGCACATTATATCTACTGAAAGAATGCCACCGGTGACTGTGATGATACACGTTTGAGAGAAGTGATGAGAGATGAGAAGAAAGAATCAACAAATATGTGATCTCTTTTAATAAAGTTCCATGTGAAGAAGGGAACTAAGGATCAAGCATTTATGAAACAGAATATGGGGCAGAAGGACTATCAACTTTAAGACAAAAGGGATTTGAGGGTGCTTAAATTTGATAGAGGATGAGCAAGCAAAAAGATTTGAAGTCACACAGAGAAGGAATGCAATCAATAGATCAATGTCCTTGGGAAAGAAGAATGAAATGGGATCTATAAAAGAGACACAGGGACTAGCCTGGGACAGAAAGTATGGTAGCTTCTGAAAGCGTAACCTGTAACAAAACAACAGGTGGAAAGAATGGGTACAGGTATAGAGGAGTCTGAAGCTTTAATGACAGTGGCTGAGGGAATCCAACCAGGCATTAACTGAGTGTTGGCACTTGACGGAGGACAAAGAGAAGCATGAATATTGGAAAGGTTCAAAGTAGGAAGGAGCAGAATCCATAGTCTCCAAAATAGTCAGGAACAAAGCATTGGAAAAGCTGCACGAGTAAGGTAAATGGCAAGAGGTTACAGCCAATTTAATTCAGTATGAAATTAAATACTAAACATGAAATCAGATTAGGCAGGTGATGTCAAAGAGCAAGAGTTAACTAGGAGAGTGGATTGGTGCAATGACATAGAGTGCAAGTTAGTGAGGTTGAGGACGAACATCTGAGAATAGAGAATTTTATGTATTTCAATTTATTCTACCCAGAATTATTGTGAAGTTGACATTCAGGAGAATAAACATGGAAATATGAGGATGAATGTAGAGGTGAAGGTCTACAACTGGTCAAGAACCAAGAAACTAGAGATGTGAGCCTGGGTAAGCTCACCTGACCATCAGGTCCAGCATTTCCCTGATGGGAGGGACTCTGGGACCCACTTTGATTAGGTTTGTGAGTAGGCCCTAGGACAGCTAAACAAGGGATTTTTCTGTTTGTGTATAAAATAGCAGCAACTTCTGGTGGCTAAAAGAACACTCTGGGGGCTGGCACCGTGGCTCACTTGGTTAATCCTCCGCCTGCCTCGCTGGCATCCCATATGGGCGTCGGGTTCTAGTCCCGATTGCTCCTCTTGCAGTCTAGCTCTCTGCTGTGGCCCGGGAAGGCAGTGGAGGATGGCCCAAGTGCTTGGGCCCTGCACCCCATGGGAGACCAGGAGGAAGCACCTGGCTCCTGCCTTCAGATTGGCGTAGCCCCAACCGTGGCAGCCACTTGCGGGGTGAATCAACGGAGGAAGACCTTTCTCTCTGTCTCTCTCTCTCACTGTCTGTAACTCTACCTGTCAAATAAATAAATAAATAAATCTTAAAATAAAGAACACTCTGGAAGGAACCATTCATGGTCTGCTTTGATTACACAAGGATCTGCATTTAACAGTGACTTGCATGAGAGGGTGATCCAGCCTGCATGTTCTCACTGGAACAAGCTGAGATTCATAAGTTATTTTCTGAATCAAATGAAAATACTTGTAAAATGGGATTACAGCCACAGTTTTAAGAATTTTTCAGATTTAATAAAATTAATCATTCTATTCTACATATATGACAGACTTAAACTGTCTGTGTTACCATTAATAATAAATCATGAGAGTTAACATTATGCCAAACAATGAAGAGCGTGGTCATCATTATAAAATTCATTGTGAACCCTGCATATTATGTGCAAACAATAATCTGAAGACATTTTTAAAAATTTATTTGAGATGCAAAGAGACAGAAATACACACACACACACACACACACACGCACAGAGCAAGAGAGAGAGAGAGAGAGAGGTCTTCCACCCACTGGTTCAATTCCCATTGTCCACAACAGCCAGGCATAGACTAGACTACCAGCCAAAATATAAGAAGTCAACCCAGGTTTCCCATGTAGATAGCAGAGACCCAATGACTTGAATCACCATTAAGCCTGCTTCCCAGTGTTGCAACAGCAGAAATCTGGACTCGGGAATGGCAGGAAGTTTAATATGGGATGCAGTTTTACAAAATGGTATCTTAACCACTATGCCTATCCTTGAGGCCACATTGTTTATCCACTTGGAATAAGCCCATTCATTGTTTTACTGCTGTCAGAAAAAAAATTAAGTAGAATTAAGAGAATACAAAGATACTTCAGAAAATTAATTGAAAAATGAATTAAAAGATAAGTTTAGGAATGGGCCTAAATAGCTAAAATACTTGTTAAAAGGTTCTTATCACATATTGGTGTGCCTGTGTTCAATCCTCAGCTCCTGTTTCTGATTGGGTTCCTGATTCCCAGATTTGACCCAGCCTAGCCCAGACTGATGCATGCGTCTGGGGTATGAACTAGAAAAAAGGGGTTATCTCTCTCCTCTTCCCTCTCTCTCTCAAATAAATAACAATTATTTTCAAAAATACATTTTAAAGCATTGAAATCCATGCATATGGAGTCTTCCAAAAGTTATGGATAATTCATATTCTTAAAAATCTTTGCAGGGACTTCAAAATTATTTTACATCAAAATAAGCTTATTTTTAAGTCCATTTTTCATTAACACTTGAAGATTTTTCATGCATTTTGAAAAAGTCCTTTCCTTTTCCAAAACCAGCTAAATATCACAAACAAATTGAATCCTTTTAGCCTTTTCAAATTATTTGTCATTTTTTTCTTAATCCTGGGTGTGCTAAAATGTAGGGCAGGATATCTTCTTTGGTTGTCTCAGAGAGAAAATCTGGTGCTAGAGAGGACAGTTAAATTTGCTAAGTGTGAAATGAAAGACATTTTGTGTTCTTTCCACATTTTTTTCTTTTTTAGTTCATATTGGGTTTATCACCAGGTTTAGTCAGAATTTGCTAAGTAGACTGTCATGTGAACATGAATTTGCACTTACAGCTTCTTTGTAAATTCTTAAGGTATAAACATTCTGCTTCTGACTCCAATTGAACTTACCAAAAGCTGAGAAAGTTGTCGCTGTATTATTATTTTGAGGTTTCACTCCACAGGCTTGAACACTGGTTTTACAAATTTGCAATTCCTTTTTCAGCCCAAAAAAATCTCCTTGTGAATACTTTGTTCAATTAAGGGAATTAATGTGATGGTTTACATATATAAGCACTGTGTCTTCATCAAGATTAAATAAAGATTTCTTGATGTTCCAAATTAAAATACTCACTGATTTTTATAATCTTTAAATATGCACTCAACATGAATTTTCAATATCACTTGGGGAGAGCTTGCAATGAAGACTTGTTCTGGAACCATAAGAATTAATAAAAATAGAGTTGTTAAATACTGCCAGTCTCCAGAAGCCTTCGCCAATTACAAATATGAGAAGTGTGATAACATAACACTTATCTTTGAGTTATATAGTTCTCACTTCCAACTCTAGTTTGAAGAAGTGTTCCTTATTTTAAAAATCTCTACAAAGGGTACTTTCTCAAATATCTTTTTACCCTTGGGAAAGCCAAAACTCTAGGAGAAATCCACTTTGCCTTAAGGTTTTCACCAGTCTGTGCATACAAGCCACAAGTCAGAAGCCTAGGTAAGTCAGAGAATGTCCTGTATCTTACCAAAGAAAGTGGAGATGGTTCAAACCTACTCCATCAAGGGAATTCCTAATACCATCAAGCGAATCTTTAAGGAGTACAGAATCACCTAGAATTTACCTAGACCAGAGAAAGTATTTTCGTAAACATAAACAAGACCATTTTCATGGCAAATAACAAGAGGGCTTTTATAACATTTTCCCTTTCCTTTCTTTGCTTCTTCACCCCTCTTTCTCTCACATGAACAATGTTCTCTCCTTCTATGTGCAAAGCCATTATGCTATTGTTTCCTTCTCCAAATGAACCTGTTAATTGTATCTGGCAACATTGCTTTATATTTCAACCTTAAGGTGAGTTTGCAGGTGAACTGTCCCAAGACTTTGGGAATTCTGGTGCAATCTCTAGCTGAGTTTGTCTGAATCAGCATGGATGCCACTTCAATGACAAGAGTTTAAAATTCCCCCTGCTTCAACTTCCAGCCCTCTTTAGAAGCAACTTGTTCAAGATCCCACCGCCTTCCCAGGGAAACCCATTTCCAATTACTCACCAGCACAAGAGTGTGAAGGTACAGCCCCTTTGCCCCTCAAAGGCCAGCTGTGTTGGGGAGCTCCACACAGGCCTTTGTGGAGGTTGCATTACACCCAGATTTCCCATCTATCCAATTCTGCTTCTTTTCTTTCCCTTTCTTAGGTATTGATTTCTAGAATACTTCCTAATAAATTTCTTGTACATGAATCTCTCAGATTCCATTTCCTGAAAAGCAACAGAATTTATTTCAATCAGTGAGAAGAAAAGAACAACTTACTGATCACTTAGTAAATGATTAGTAACTGTGCATTGGATGAAGGGAAGGCTTCATGACCTGGTAGAAACTTCATGTACAGTGAGCAGTCAGGGCACTTGGAAGACAGAGCGTCTGGCAACTTTGCCAGCACTTCTGAAATTACTGTTTTTGGACAGCCTTTAGCAACAGCTTATCTTTTACTGATTATCTTAGTCTTCAGCCTTATGTTTCTGGTACATCTGAGATTTCATGTGCCCAGGCTCTTTTCTATGCATTTGGGTAATTATGGCTGGAACCATTCTCACCCAGACAGTCTTCTGAGTCAGAAAGCTAGTTAAGATCCCTTTATGTCACAGCTAACCAGCACTGAATTAAACATCATTGAAACAAATGTAATTTCATTTTTCTTAATTATCCTGTTTGTTTTTGTGTATTCCACACTTGAGTTGAGCCAAAAGGCCAAGAAGTGATATGGCTCTGTGTATTCATCTTCATTTTGCCTCTATAATGAAGGTACGATAAACTTTTAGGTATGATAGAGATGTTGAACCAAATACTACTGTATGTTTAGTAGGAATCCTTTTTGCTCAATAGGTAGTTTATATTTTTTGTGAACTCCATGTTTAAATTCCTGTGTGGTTATAAATGTACAGAGTCAAAGCAATTTTTATATCTTCTTGTGAGTGTTTTAAGTACAATTCACATGGAATAAAAGTATGCAATAAATATCAATGTTACCTTTTTTGATATTGTTTCTTGAATAGTAACTAATACTATCTTAGGATATCAAGTTACAATGATTTAGGTAATTTACCAGGTAAATTTATAGATGTTTCTTTCCACAGTTCTAATATTTGAAACAGAAAGGAGATGGGAATCAATGGCAATATATCAGACAGTTTTGCCTGGAAAGTTTATGCTCAATAAATTATGTCATCAAAATCATCATTGTTAGCATTAACATTTTCCCAATGAAGACACATGCTTCAGAATGATATCCTATTTTAAGAAAGAATCTAATGGCTGGCACGTGGTTGCTTAGTAAATATTTTGCTCTATTATTTGTTTGTTTCAACAGTCAAGAGGAAGTAATATTTGCCCTTTTTGGAATATAATAATTACATTCATGTGTGCTTAATGTAAGTTCACTAAACCTTTTTATCATTTTATATTATACTAGATTTGAATAAAAATCTAAAACTGTATACTGCAGAGGTAATCTATATATTAAAATTATTCATCTAATTTTTAAAGCTAACTTTTTAAAAGTGACTTTTTTAACCTGATGGAATATATTGTAAAATATTAAAACAGCATTTGACAATGTAACAGGAACCAAAATATAAAAAGTAAAATATGGATCAATACACTGCAACTCTTACAAAATAGGGATTTTATTTTTACCAAGTTATAAAAAACATGTAATAGAGAAAACACATTATCTCACCTTGATCATTCCCAACAGTTTTCCATCATTCAAGCAACAGGACTTCCATGATCTCCAAGACTATTATTCTATTCTTAAGTACAGACACCTGTTGAAAGATTTGCCGAAACGTCTATTCCCCCAGGATCATTTGCTCACTCTCCTTACAGTTTCCTGGGCAACTCAGTTTTTCCATGGTTATCCTGCCTTTTAAAAAATTATGAAAATTTAAACTATCACAACTTATAATTATGTACTTCTGTTCTGGTACAATCACTCTTAAACATAAAATAGCATTTTTACAATTGGACTGCATAGTCCATATCTTATCTTAGATCTCTGACAAAGTTATTTCCATTATAATGCAAGCATCCTTGATTTTCCTCTGACCTTCTTGTATATAGCAAATGCAAATGAGCAACTGAAACTGCTAAGACACTGGTAGAACCTTGAGAAATTCACACAACCTCTCTGTGTCTTAGTGACCTCAAGCATTACATGAAGATAATGGATACCTATACCACATAGCCATGAAGAAGTTTAAAGCATTTATTAAAGGTTTAGAAAAATGCCTGATAAGTAGTGTTCAATAAATATCAATTCTAATGATTACAAGTATTTTAATATTCTTCTTTATTGTTCCTCTAATTCTTCTCCTTTCGAATATGAGAAGAATCTATGACGGTGCTGTTGTGTGGGTCTTAAATAGGAGGACATGGCTAATGGATGGAGGACAAGACAGTCTCCTTCCAGTTGTTCAAGCGGTAGGGTCCAGGTCCCCCCTTTACGCTCCTCATCAGCCACATCTCTAGCCTCTGCTTCTCACTTTCTTCTCTCCTCTCATTTTCTACCCTTGGGTTAATCTCTAAATAAATTCCACTGGCAGCCAAAACTGGCAGAAATAAATGAGAAAAGAGGAAAGTAAAATGTGTTCAGCTACTTCCTCACAGTGCTTCCAACTCTCACTCCCCTTATTCCTAGCATCTTTGTTTCTCCCTAACATTCTGGCACTGATCTCTTCATCCTAGTGAGAGAAACAGGGAAGGAAGAGCGAGAAGCACCCGTCCTGCTTCTATGAGGGCTGCTAGGGTGGCTGCGTCGCCCTCCCTACCCGCCCCGCTTTTTGACACATCCCAGTCACACACAAGACTCACTGACAAGTACTGAGATCAAGGAAACGAAGGGTCAAGAAAAGTGAACTGTCCCCAGCTGTAGTTCTGTACTGAGCACTCCAGGTCCTACCTCTCTGGTTCTCATTCCTCTCAGCTCCCATGACAGGGCCCTGCCTCTCATTCTGTCACATCGCATCATCCGATATCCTCCACCCCCTAACTCTTTGCTCTGGCTGGGAAGCATCACCTCAAGGAATCAGCTCCGGGAAGTCTTTTTACTCTCACGTGTGAGAGCCAAAGGAAAGACCTGACCCACCACCATCCTGCTAATGGGAATGTAGAGACAGGTGTAGCCCTAGTGTCGCTTACTGGAACTCTGAAATGTTCACTTCCTTCGAATGTTACTAATATGTGCTCAGACCTTTAGATTATGATTGTTAGATTGTTAGATTATGATTGTTCTTCATAGATATGTGAATGTTTTTCTTGAGTCACATGAAGAATTGTAAAAGATTTAGACCATCTGCACAAAATTAATTCTACAGAGAAAAAATGCACTTCATGTCCCAAACTACTGAAGTGTAAATTGTTTGGAACAAAGCCCATATTCAAGATAAGAAGTGATGGGGCCAAGGCTGTGGCACAGTGGGTTAATGTCCCCGCCTGCAACACTGGCATCCCGTATGGATTTTCGGTTCGAGTCTCAGCTGCTCCACTTCTGTTCCAGCTCTTGGCTAATGTGCCTGGGAAAGAAGGGGAGGATGGCCCAAGCCCTTAGGTTCCTGCACCCATGCAGGAGACCTGGAAGAAGCTCCTGGTTCCTGGGTTTGGTCTGGCTCAGCCCCAGCTGTTGCAACCATTTGGGGAGTGAACAGCAGATGGAAGACTTCTTTTCTCTCTCTCTCTTTCTCTCTCCCCTTTCCTACCTCTCTCCATAACTCTGTCTTTTAAATAAATAAAATAAATCTTTTTTTTTTTTAAAAAGATAAAAAGTGTCTCTATATAAATAGTACAGGATATATCATGATTCTCCCCTTAGGGTCTATGACATAAGACTTCATAATATAAAAGATTCTAATCTTGTAATATTTTGGGTTTTAAAAAATATTTTAGTAATTAATTTTTGCATGATATTCAAGATGCAGGTACAAGTACTGAGTTCAGCATAAATATGTTAACAGCATTTTTAGGTAACCCAATAACCTCACAAAGATTCAAACAGTAAAAATGTGTATGAAATGACATCTTCCTCCTACTGCAAACCTTCCCATTTCAGAAATACCCACAGTATTTCTAAGAGTTTTTTCTTATCAGTGTTAGCCTTTAATAATTTTCTAAATAAATCCCTCCAATAGTTTTGATAAGGTCTTTTAGAGAATTCCAAATACAGTTGCCACTAATAGCTCCCAAAAAGTTCCTTTGGAAAACACACGCTCTTTAATTTAACTTTCTTATCTGTTAATCAGTATATCCTTGAACAAAATACTGCCTACTATACAGGTTTTTGTGTGAGTGTTGGGCTGGATTATGTCAATTAAGGTCTTTGGCATTTCCCTCTAAGTCCCAGGTGCAAGCCTGTCCATGACCCACAGAATAGTCAGGCTTATCAGCAGTCAATAGTGTTGTGCTGATGCAGCAAAGCTTCCAATAATCTCTCCGCAGTTGTCTTATGGGTGCATTTTGAGAGAAAGGTCATCAGCGTAAAGCAGTAACTGAAGGACATTCGAGTGTTTTCAAGATAGTGTTGTAAGAATTTCCATGAGGGAACAAGCGTATGTCACTGGCTGGATCCTAAACCTGACTTTGCAGGGCAGCTAGCATGATACGACGGTCTGTTTTCTTTCTAGATGCTAGAGGAGGTGGTAAAAGAATTTGGTAAATAATCAGATGCTCATTTCACAAGCGCACGATCTACATTTATCTCCAGCCCAGCTTCAGAGTTTGCTGAAGGGCCAGGTGCAGAACTGCTCCCTCATCCTCTGCAGGTTTTTTTTTTTTTTTTTTCTGTCTTCACCCATCTTTCTGAGACATCCAAGGGTTCTTTGCCTAGTTTATACTTTCTTGCCCTTCACAGATGAAATGTTATAGATCTCTTATTCTAAAACTGTGGTTTGAGCATCTAGTACGTGCCAGGTGCCATTCTAGGTAGCTGAAGTATAGTAATACCTTAACTAACAAAGATCTCTGCCCTAGTGGGAATCCTTATCCTGGCAGAGGAAAACAAGCAATAAAAGGTGAATTTAATAACTAAGTCAATGATTGCTGACTTTGTGGGTCAGGGGGTTCAGCCACCACTTGCCATGCAGGCGTCCCACACCAGAGTGCCAGTTTGAGCCCTTGCTGCTCTGTCCCTTGCTAATGTGCCTGAAAAGGCAGCTGATGATGCCCCAAGTACTTGGACCCTTGCTACTCATGTGGGAGGCCCAGATGAAGTTCCTGGGCCCTGGCTGTGGTTTGGTCTAGCCCTGGCTGTTCTGGACATTTGATGAGTGAGTTAGCAGGTAGAAGTTAGTACCTCCTCCTGTGTGTGTGCATGTGTGTGTGTGTGTGTGACTCTGCCTTTAAAACAAAAAGATCTTTTCACACAATAAAAGACATATAATGTTAGAAGCGCACAATTTTCAGAGTACAGTAGAGTATTGAGCTTTCAGAGTGGCAAATGGGGGTTTTAAAAAGTATCGTAGAGAGGTCTCATTAGAAAGCAGCATGTGAGTAACGTCTTGGAAGAAGCAAGGAGTCAACTGTGAAGGGATCTGGATAAGCAGTAGAGAGAGAAGAGAGTGCACATATCCAAAGGTGAGTCGGAAGGATGGTGAAAAGGCCACACTGAGCAGGAGGAAGTGTGGAAGGAAATGATGTCAGGGGTGCAAGTCACCAGGTCTTAGGAACTGGCTTAAACTCAGGCTTCTAAAATGCCTTTAAAGGTTTGCAGCACAGGAGACCCATAATCTGTTGTAATTTTGGAAGGATTATTATGGATTTATTCTAAGAGACCATAGGTGGATAGTGGAAGCTGAGAGCCAATATGTGTTATTCCAATAATCCAGGAGCAGTGTTAGAGCACAAGTGATAGGTAGTGCTCTCATTAACATGTTAAGCAGAGGGGCAGGCACTTGCTACAACATTAAGCTACCACTTGGGACACTCACATTCCATATCAGAGTGCATGGGTTCCACTTAGGTGGGCCCTGCTCCCAATTCCAGTTGCTTGGTCTTATGCTCCCTGAGAGCAGCAGGGTATGCTGTATTCTGGTCCCTGTTACCCACATCAGAGATCGAGATTTGGTTCTAGACTCCTGGCTTTGGCCTGACACAAATGCCCCAGAGTTGCAGGCATTTGTGAGTGAACGACCACATTAGAACTCTATCTTTCAGATGAATAAATAAATGAAAATTTAAAAAGATGTTCCAATAGAATGTTACCCAATGCAAGTGTGTTTTAATGTTACAGACAGTGCTCTCCCCCGAAATTGTTTAGTTTGAGAATGTGCAACAAAGAAAGAAGGGAAAGAAGACGGAGAAAAGAAAGATGATTCATGGTTCAATTTTATATATCATTGAAGAAGAAACTCCAGGTGAAGCTTCATTGGCTTCCCAAATCAGTAGACACAGTTTGATTAAAGCATAGGGCAATGTTTATGTTTGAGTCCAGGAATCTGGGGACAGTTTTGAGTAGGGCTGTAGATAGTACTTTCAGATCATTGTCCCTTCACACATCAAGTATTTCTTAATATGTAGTATGAATAACACACTGTCGTTCTAAGCATAGGGGCACAGCAAAACAAATATCCAACAAACAAATTTCCAAGCCTATCTAGTGCCGATTTTCTTATGTTGAACAGCAGAAGTTCACTAACAGTTCAATAACAATTTCATAATAGATCAAGGTATCACGGGAAAATTTTCCTGAGACAGATTTCTAATTTGTGCAGCAATCATGGAAAATGACATATGTTTAGCTATCCATTATCTAAAACATTTGGGGTCAGAAAGGTTTTGGGTTTTTTAAAAATTATCTAAAACATTTGGGGTCAGAAAGGTTTTGGGTTTTTTAAAAATTTTTGAACATTTGCATATATATATACATATATAACA